TGCACACCTTGATCTTGTGGCCTGGGCCACCTCTTATGGTGCAGCCCATGTCTTGTCTTGTGGATACCGGGGGCCATACCCCCACATCTAGTCCCCGAGCCTGATAGTATGTGATGTAGTCACGTGGTGCCAGGGTCATAAAGTAGAAGAAAGGCAGAAGACCGACCGAGCAGCCAACCAGTCCATGGGCGGAGCCCCGAATCGAAAAGTGCACATTCACCGCAAGGTGAAGTGTACCCACTTAGTCCCCGAGCCTGCTGGAAGATGCAGAATGAATCTTGTAGCAGGGTCAAAGAAAAAGAAGTCAGAAAGCTTACCGATGTCATCTGACATGCGCGTATCAAGTCCCCAGACGTGCTGCCCAAGATCAGCACCCTGATCCGAACAGCATGTAGCATCTTGATAGCACACCGATGAGATGTAGCAAGATCCGACCACCAAGAGAGTCCCCGACGTAGCTGGCGACGTCCGAGCACCGAGGAGTCCTCAGCGTAGCTGGCGATGTCCAAGCACCGAGGAGTTCCCGGCGTAGCTGGCAACGTCCGAGCACCGAGGAGTCCCCGGCATAGCTGGCGATGTCCGAGCACCGAGGAGTCCCGGCGTAGCTGGTGACGTCCGAGCAGCGAAGGAGTCTCTGGCATAGCTGGCGATGTCTGAGCACCGAGGAGTTCCCGGTGTAGCTGGCGACGTCCGAGCACCGAGGAGTCCCCGAAGTAGCTGACAATGTCCGAACACTGAGGAGTCCCCAGCGTAGCTGGCGATGTCTGAGCACCGAAGGAGTCCCCGGCGTAGCTGGCGATGTTCGAGCACGGAGGAGTCCCCCGCGTAGCTGGCGATGTCCAAGCACCGAGGAGTTCTCAGGGTAGCTGGCGATGTCCGAGCACTGAGGAGTCCCAGGTGTAGCTGGCGATGTCTGAGCACTAAGGAGTCCCCGGCATAGCTGGTGATGTCCGAAACACCGAGCGATCCCCGGCGTGGTGGCGACGTCCCGAAAGCACCGAGAGGTCCCCAGCGTGGCGGCGATGTCCGAGGCACTGAGGAGTCCCCGGCATAGCTGGCGATGTTCGAGCACCGAGGATTCCCCAGGGTAGCTGGCGATGTCCGTGCAATGAAGTGTGCCCACTTAGTCCCCGAGCACGAAGAATTCGAGCGCCGATGAGTCACTGGCGTAGCTGGCGATGTCCGCACACCGAGGAGTCTCCGGCGTAGCTGATGATGAAGCACGAGTGACAAATAGTCCTGTCAATTGGTCAGCGACGAAGTGAGCATTGAGTAGAAGCGACCGGCAAATAGTCCGATCAACTGGTCGGCGACGAAGTCCATAAACCTTGCGGTTCGACCAGTTGATCGGTGGAGAAGTCCGAGCACCAGGTGGTCCAATCACCTGGTCGATGCTGCTGCAATACAAATATGTAGAACGGGTACTACATGATGTAAAAATATATGAACTCCAGAGAAGAATCAGTAATGGTGACGAAATAGCATATGCAGCTCGGCGATCAGTTTGTGTGAATCTGTATTTATATTTAATATAAACCGTCCGACCAGTTAGTGTGTAACTGAGTCTCCAGCTTTAGCTAGCCCGTTAATCATAACGCAGAGCGCGGAGCCCGTGTGCATGTAGGAAGAACAAAGCGTCACTAAGGAGCCACTGCCGACCACCCATAACATAGAGGGCAGACGCTCGTGCACGTGTAGGAAGGAGCCGGAGACAGGGCCGTCTCTGGGGACATCTGAGCGTCAACATGACTGTTCGGGGGTTTGGAAAATCGTTTGAAGAACAAACATGAAGAAAACAACTCAGAGAAACATTATGACGATATACGGAGATTGAAGAATATTTAGAAGAATATTAAAGTTGTGACATAGCTTGATTCATGAACGAGTCGAGGAGTTGTTGAAGCAATCGGCAAATAGTCCGATCAACTGGTCGGCGACGAAGTCCATAAACCTTGCGGTCCGACCAGTTGATCGGTGGAGAAGTCCGAGCACCAGGTGGTCCAATCACCTGGTCGATGATGCTGCAATACAAATATGTAGAACGGGTACTACATGATGTAAAATTATATGAACTCCAGAGAAGAATCAGCAATGGTGATGAAATAGCATATGCAGCTCGGCGATCAGTTTGTGTGAATCTGTATTTATATTTAATATAAACCGTCCGACCAGTTAGTGTGTAGCTGAGTCTCCAGCTTTAGCTAGCCCGTTAATCATAACGCAGAACGCGGAGCCCGTGTGCGTATAGGAAGAACAAAGCGTCACTAAGGAGCTACTGCCGACCACCCATAACGTAGAGGGCAGACGCTCGTGCACGTGTAGGGAGGAGTCGGAGACAGGGCTGTCTCTGGGGACATCCGAGCGTCAACATGACTGTTCGGGGGTTTGGAAAATCGTTTGAAGAACAAACATGAAGAAAACAACTCAGAGAAACATTATGACGATATACGAAGATTGAAGAATATTTAAAAGAATATTAAAGTTGTGACATAGCTTGATTCATGAACGAGTCGAGGAGTTGTTGAGCGTGCTGGCATGCGAATCTGCTCTTGCACGTGGGAGAGGTGTATGCGCGTATATGCATGCGTCCATGCATGTCTCGATTGTTTGTTTATTCATCATCGACTTGCATGGTCTTGTAGATACGCGGACCTCTGCCTGCTTGATATTGATTGGATCTTATAGCAAAGTTCGTGGCGGTAGGACCCGACGCGAAGCTTCCTGGAGCCGGACTCCCGTACGGGCGCTGCCGATTTGCCGTCAAGGCTTTGATACGCCGCCGCACGCTGAGTCGCTGCTCGCTTGACGCCGATCGCCATACTCGGTGAAGTAGCAGATCGATCCCGCCGCACGGAGCGGCGAAACCGACGTAGTAGGTGGCTGCCATCCAGCTCGCCGGTGGATCTCACGCACACCCCTACCTGGCGCGTCAACTCTCGGCAGTCCTCCGAGGGGTATTTCACGAAAGTAGGTTGATCGGTGGAGGTGCGCATAATCAGGAACCGGATGGTGACACAAGGCACAGAGACAACGATTTAGACAGGTTTAGACCGTCTGATCGACGTAATACCCTACGTCATGTGTCTTTGGTGTATTGTATTGAATATGAGATCTATGTAGATGTATGTGGATCTGGCAACTAGGGGACCCCTGCCTCTCCTTATATACTCTCGAGGGGTAGGGTTACAAGGAAAGTATCCTATTTGGTACTATACAATATCTTGCGGTGCACGCTGAGCAGCGCCGTGCACGCCTTGATCTTGTGGGCTGAGTCACCTCTGATGGTCTAGCCCGTCTTGTTTTGTGGATACCAGGGGTTATACCCCCACAACAGTAAAGCCATTACTCAGGTTAGTATGAAACCAGGAGACTCACAATTCTGATCAGGTCCGATGCATATGAAAGACCAATTCTTGTTTTTTAACAGCAAGTTAGATTTTGGGTGGATCTCTAGAGTGTTAATAAATCTTTGATGTTGCCTTATCCTACTTTATATAGGCGGCGTTCGGCTGGTGCAAAAACCAGCCGGAATTCACTGTTTATGGCTGAAATTCACTGTTCACGCTCTCATAAATTTCTTCAGATTCCTCCAAATTCCTCCCAGCGAACATGGCCATAGAATATAGAATTGTTGGACATAAAGTTATGGATGATGTACTTGATTTGTTTCCTCTCAATGTTTCTTTACATAGAGGTTTAGTAGGGGATATATAAGTTAGCAGTATGGTTTGATCTAGTTTCAAAAGTGCCACTGCTACTATATATCCATGTAGCAGAACCAGATTGGCAATGACATCTACGGTAACACACGTATCATTTTTCATATCCTTCCTGGAAGTCTCACTATTGTGCAAGCAACACAACTTATGGCCTATTTAGTATGGCTCTCGCACCGGCTTCTCCATGGAGATGAGAGTTGTAACACCACCATAACTTACTGTGTGCCCAAGATGAATAAATCAATTTGCAAACAAATGCACCGTAAGAACAAACCGTCGGTGAAACTAGCAATCACAGCCAGCTCGGCGGATGATGCGCGGTGGTCTGAACCATTGTTGTTTCCACCGTCGGATCATCGGACGAGCCGACGGTGGTAGAGATTTCCACCGCCGGCTCTAACGGGTGGTGTGTCCTTCCATCTTTAAACCCGCAGTGAAACTTCTTATCTCCGCTCGGTTTGGATGTGTGTCGCGCATTGCATGAGTAACCAGCGGTGCTAAATGGTTACACCGCCGGTTCGGCGCATGATGCGGTGGCGAAGACTGGCATTGTGTTTACTGCCGGATCATACACCGGGCCAGCGGTGAAAGTGTTTATCACCGTCGATAGGTCACCCAGAAGGGACCCCTCCGGTCATAAACTAGCGGTGATTAAACTTTCTGTAGTAGTGACACTTGCCCCAAGTGCAGAGCTGCACTAAACGCCCTCGAGTGGAGAAGCGCTTCTTGACCAGCAAAACACGGAGCCGGAGTCGTTTTCGTGTATGGATACAGAGATGAGAAAACTGACTCCGCCCAAGGGTTCCGGCTCTGCCTGTTAAGCGTGCGTGGAGGACCGCTGCCAAACGCGTTAGTTGAGCTAATTGTCAACGAAACCGCGTTCTGTTCACTAAAATTATTTTCTTATGTATCATGAAAAAAAGGAAATGTCGTATTCGTGTATCATTAATTTCCACAGTCCGGTCGCCAGCTGCAGTCTGTATACTGGACCACGAACAAAAGAATACCCACCACGAACAAAAAAATTCAGACTTCTGGAGCGAAGACCTGGCTGGAGGCCGGTCCTCCACAGGGATTCTCCCCGAGCAAGGAAATTACAAGCTTCGCAGCAATCACCTGCCAGCAAAGCATAATAACGGCCTCATACCAGCCAAAGGTAGCTCAGCATACAAATCGGCCTCCCTATCGCCACCGGCTGCCAACAGCGCGCCGCGGCCGTGCGCAGCACCAGTCAACACAACCAAACGCCAACGCTACCAAGCCGGCGGAGACGTACCTACAATGGCACCACCGCGCCGCGTGTACCCGCGCGACCGCGCCTACTTCTTCCTGCTGCTCGCGCTGCTTCTCTTCTGCCCTGTGCGCCGACGAGCGGCTGCGCAGTCCCAGCCGGCGGACGAGGCGCAGCTGCTGCTCCAGATCAAGAGGGCGTGGGGCAACCCGCCAGTGCTCGCGCGATGGAAGAACGCCTCATCCCCGGGCGCGCCATGCACCTGGACATTCGTTGGGTGCAACACGGCCGGGCGCGTCACCAACCTCACGCTCGGTAGCGCCGGCGTGGCGGGCCCCTTCCCAGACGCCGTCGGCGGTTTCTCGGCCCTGACCTACCTCGACGTCTCCAACAACAGCATCTCGGGCGCATTCCCGACCGCGCTCTACCGCTGCGCTTCGCTCCGGTACCTCGACCTGTCCGAGAACAACTTCACTAGTGAGCTGCCTGCGGACATCGGCCGCCTAGGGGAGAACCTGACCACGCTGCTCCTAGACGGGAACGGATTCAACGGCACCATCCCGGCGAGTCTCGGCGCGCTGACAAGGCTTCGGACCCTGTGGCTGGCCGAGAACCCGTTCCTTGCGGGCGAGCTGCCGGTGTCGTTCAAGAACCTCACCAACCTTGTCAGCCTCTGGGTAGAGCAGTGCAACCTCGTCGGCGACTTCCCGAGCCATGTGCTTGAGATGAAGCAGCTGGAGGTACTGAGCCTATCCAATAACATGTTGAAGGGAAGCATACCTGCGGCAGTTTGGAGGCTCAGCAAGTTGCAAGAGTTGTATCTGTACAGCAACAACTTCAGCGGTGATGTGGTGATTGATTACTTCGCCGCGGTGAGCTTAATGTTTATCGACCTTTCAGAGAATTATAAGCTTACTGGAGCTATCCCAGAAGTCTTCGGGACCTTGAAGAATCTCACTGAGCTGTATCTCTTCACAAACAACTTTTCTGGCGAGATACCAGTGAGCATCGGCCAGTTACCGTCACTGTCAGTATTCAGGCTTGCAAATAACAGGTTTACTGGCACGCTCCCGCCGGACCTTGGAAAGAATTCGGTCTTGCGCATTGTTGAGGCTGATTACAACGAGCTCACTGGTACCATCCCAGAAGGTCTGTGCGCCAGAGGCCAGTTCTGGTACCTCATTGCCAAGGGCAACCAGTTGAACGGCTCTATCCCGGCAGGCCTAGCAAACTGCACAACTCTAAAAACCCTGGCTCTAGATGATAACAATCTCTCCGGAGATGTGCCAGAAGGTCTGTGCGCCAGAGGCCAGTTGCGTTACCTCAGTGCCAATGGCAACCAGTTGAACGGCTCTATCCCGGCAGGCCTCGCAAACTGCCCAACTCTGCAAGTCCTGGATCTAGATAATAACAATCTCTCTGGAGATGTGCCAGAAGCTCTGTGGACTGCACCGCAGCTCCTTGTCTTGTCACTGCAGAATAACCAGCTCACCGGGAGTCTTCCAGCCACGTTCTCTAGCAACCTTAGGAGATTGCTCATAGGCAACAACCAATTCAGTGGCAGCTTATGCTCGTGAGTCATGGCGCTTAGATCAGTTGCGCTCAACAAATTTACGGCAGAGAACAACCAATTCCCTAGCCCAATACTGGACAGTATTGGTCAGAGGAATAATATTCATGGATGTTTCTTTAACTTGACACGGGTGTTATCTAGGTCCCTCTATTCTCCTAATGCTATTTCTAAGCCCATAAACTTGGCTTTTGGGGTTTCATGTAGGTCCGAATGGAGCCAAACCCACTCCTGTTTGCCTGACGTGGTACGCTAACCGTGCATTGACGTGAATTCGACACGTGGGACACACATGCCATGTCCACCGATCCTCTCTATTCCACGTGGGAGTCTTCCAGCCACGTTCTCTAGCAGCCTTGCGACATTGAGCATACGCAACAACCAATTCAGTGGCAGCTTATGTTCGAGACGCTAGAGCAGTTGCGCTCAAGAAATTTATGCCCAAAAACAACCAGTTCTCCTTCCCAATACAGGTCAGAATTGGTGACTAGAGTAAAATTCATGGCAGGTTCTTTAACTTCACAAGGGGTGTTATCTTGGCCCTCTAATCCTAAAATGCTATTTTTAGGTTATGAACTTAGTCTTGGGGATTTCATCTAGCTCCAAAAAGACACCCGCTAATTAAGTAGGACTCATCTGCCTTTCTAATTAGCTCTTTCAAAAGTTGGGTTTTCCCTGGAGTTGGCCCATGTAAACTTCCTGTTAGAGAGAGGAGAGTTTATATTGATATGTTACGAGAATTCAATTAAGTAGGACTCTTCTTTGAGAAACTTAGAGTAATCTGTGGTGCTAGCTAGTTGATCTTCTTAAGTGATCTCTGATTCTAGTTTTTATCCAATTCAACACCACATATCCTTTGCGTGAGTCGATTCTTATTAGTCTGCCTCTGTTAACTAATTTTAGAAGATGGTACTTTATCAGGTGTCTTTGTAAATAGGCTGACAGCTTCAGAAAATCACGAGGTTTTTGTGGACAGTTTGTTTACCACCTCTGTTAATGAAAGGAGCTCTCTCTTAAAATCGTTTTTATCGTGACCAGAGAAGCTAGCTACTAGTCGATCTTATCTGCCTTTCCGGATTCAATAATATCCTTTCAGCTTTCACCGTCTCAGATTTGCACGTAAACATATATGTGCCACTACTACTATCCATTTATATGTAGCAGAACAGGATGGACATGTCATCTGCAACACGGATCATTTTTCATCGTATATCCTTCCTGGAAGTCCCTCCTCACTGCTGTCCAACAGTGCAAGTGTAAAACTGTCAACGAAACCGCGTTTTGCTTGCTGAAATTATTTTCGTATATCAGAAAAAAAGGAAGCGTCGTATTCGTAATATCATTATCGCAGCAACTAACTAAGAAATCGCCTGCTAGCTGCAGTCTGTATACAGGACCAAGAACCCACCAGCGTGGCAACCCTTGCCACGTATGTCAAAACAGTTCTACGACGGTTTATTTTTCGTCACAGATCAAGCCACTTCTATGACGAGTTACTTAGATTCGTCAGAGAAGTTCAAGTATGACGCGACTTTTGTGACGAACCGTTTTTCGTTATAAATTCATCATAAAACTCAATTACGACGAATTTGGCTTCTTCGGTAACGGAAGTTGTTCGTCATGAAAGTGCAAATTCCTAGTAGTGATTGAAAAAATCCCTCTCCAACAACACTCTTATTTCAATCACAATCTTTCCGCATTTGAGAAAAACGGATCTAATCGTGCGGAAAGGCATGTGTACGTATCCAATCGGCAGATCAGGAGGTGGAAGGACGTGGAGAAGAATAAGGAGAAAAGACATGGTTCTTATTGCAAATATACAAGAGAAAAAAAAAAGTATAAAAGTGGCTTCAGTGATTTGAAAATAGTTTGAGGTTCCTAATACAAAATTAGCTTCTAACTAGCCATATTTAAAATAGTTAGAAAAAGCTAGCAAATACACTCCCTATTTTTTAGCGACTTGAAAGCTCATTGATTTACCAATTGTTCCTTTAGTTACTATTGGAGATGTTCTAAGAAAGGGTTACAAAAGAATGGAGGTGGACACGGATAGGCCCACCCAGCCCATCAACCGGCCTGTTACGTTACCTCATCCGTCTGCTGCAGTCCCGTATTGCCATCACTGTTTAGCAATCAACACAAGCGGCGCGCCCCTGCCGCCGCCACCACCAGCAGCAGCAGCGCCATGACTCCCCGTCGATCCTCACTACGGGATACAGTCGTTTCGTTGAGTGCCAGGGGCACTCGACAATGGCCCAAAAATACTCGGCAACTGCTTTATCGAGTGTAACACTTAGCATACAACACACGGTATCTTTTTGTCGGCAAACAACTATTTGCCGAGTGCTTTTTGTCGGGCATTCGGCAAAGCCTTTGCCGAGTGCCGGAAAAGCACTCGGCAAATATTTACACTCGGTAAAATAAAAATGTGAAAAAACCCAAAAATAATAGCAAAATTTTTCAAATTTTTTTTTCGGGGAGGCCGCCACCAGCCAGCGCCTGTCCGTCTTCATCGAAGTCGGTGCATTTTTTACGCTAAATTCATGGCTAACGCAGCCGGCGGGATTCGAACTCACGACCTCTCCCTCGCGTGTCTGCTGCTCTACCACTGCACTACACTGTCACTTGTGTCTAGATTTCATTATCTATCCTCATATATTATACTAAAACCGAGAGTAAATTGCTTGTTTGAGGCCCTAAACGAATTCAAATAAAAAAGTGGTCAACTACAAAGTTTCATAACTTTTCGAGATCTACAATTTTAATTTAGGAAGTTTTTCCATCCGAGGTCATTTGAAAAATTTGAATTTCAAATTTGAGAGATTCAAACATAGTTTTGCATGATAAGATGATTTCAAATCAAAAGTTGTCAACTACATAGTTTCATAACTTTTTGAGATCTATAATTTTCATTTAGAAAGTTTTTTCATCCGAGGTCTTTTGAAAAATTCAAATTTTAAAATTTTCAAATTCAAACGTCGTTTTTGCATGACAAGATGATTTCAAATCAAAATGTTGCCAGCTACAAAATTTCATAACTTCTCAAGATCTACAAAGTTTATTTTGGTCATTTGTTCTTCCGACATAGTGGTAGTAACATTATTCACAAATCTTATATATCTCTCTTCTACTTTCATGAAACTAATATGATTAGAGATGTAGATTTTATGAACAACGTTATTGTCGCTTTGTTAAATGAAAAAATGACCAAAATAAACTTTGTAGATCTTGAGAAGTTATACAACTTTGTAGTTGAAAAGTTTTCCATTTCAATTCATTTAGGGCCTCAAAAATTGCTTTGAAAAACTGATTTGCCGAGGGCAAAAAAAATACACACGGCAAAATGCCTCTTTGCCGAGTGCCAAAACAAAGGCACTCGGCAAAATACATCTTTGCCGAGTGCCAAAAAAAAAGGCACTCGGCAAAGACGCATTTTGCCGTGTGCCGAAAAATAGCACTTGGCAAAATACATCTTTGCCGAGTGCCAGAAAAAATGCACTCGGCAAAGACGTATTTTGTCGAGTGTTTTTTTTTGCCGAGTGTATTGTATTTGGCACTCGGCAAAGACCGTCTTTGCCGAGTGCCCAATAAAATACACTCGGCAAAGCCTCCGGCACTCGGCAAAGTGCCGGTTTCCGGTAGTGCCTGTCGCCCCTACAGTGCACGCCACCCGGTCTTCTGAGAGACTTCCCCCACCTCTCCCTTTCATATTAGGCATTGTTTGGACGCACGTGTATTCACTTTAATCCACATATGTTATAGTGGATTGGAATGTAATTTAGTTTAATTCCACTCATATCCACTTCAACACATGTGGATTGAGATGAATACATGCGCATCAAACAGGCATCTCGCAGGCACTCAGGCAGCATCAACTGGGAACGGGATGGATTTCGCTGGAAACAATGCAAGAAAAGAGACGAGCTGTGAGCATAAAACATGCATGCTGACAATAAACTATGCTGAAAAATAGGGAGAGGAAACTTATGACGCGCAGGCACAGGAGCAGGATTGACCTGTCGTTGGTCGTTGTTGCGATCACTTGGGAGCTCTCTTCTGCATCATCAGGCTGAGGTTCGGTTGCTTCCTCTTCAAAACCGGATCCGACGGCATCCCCCAGGTCATGGTGGTTCCAGTCCTCCTTCAGTCGCAGCACAGGTTTATTGCGGTGTTGGTTGACTTCCGCTTGCAGCATATTAAGTCCTGCCACCTTACACTTTACAGCGGTCACCAAGTGAAATCTCCTTGAGCCTTGGAAGGTGCTTGATACCAACAATCCCTGACTTTAGCATGGACCAACTGATATGTATGCTTTCCATGCAGGGCGAGGCGTCATCCTCCTCAAACCTTATCTCTGTCAATTCACTCGCATGAGAAACAACAAGTTTTCTGAGATTTGGGAAGGCTCAAGCTCTGAATGTTAGTTTCTCCCCACTATATGCGTATGTAGAAAGCTTAAGGACCATAAGCTTGGGCAGCGCCCCAAGTATCTCCAAGTCCTTTAGGTGGCTCAATTTTAAGTACATCTTCACCAACTGTGTAAGATTACCAAACCAACTTTAGGCTCCTTAGCAGCGGGGGAGGGGAGAGAGAAGAACCCAGCCACTCAAGTGTTCCAGTAACGTGGACAAAGCGGAGAGAGGTGAGCTTCACAAGGGCCTTGCAAAAGACCTGGCATTTTCCCTTTGCTGCCCTTCATGTTGTTGAGTTGTGATCTAAATTCAGTTATGTACAAGATAAAGGCTAACTTCTACAGGAGCGAAGCGAGGCTTGTCGCCGGGTCGCCTATTAGGGTTTTCCATCTATATATACTTCCTGTAAGCCGTTGTCTTGGGATAAGAAAAGTTGTAAATCCCCGACGTTTGTAACCTCACCCGATATAGTGAAGATTTGCTGGCTGGTGCCCGTGGTTTTTTCCCTTCTTCCTTGGAAGGGTTTTCCACGTTAAAATCTCGTGTCTCATGTGTTTGATCCACTGTTCTTCGTCGTTTATATTGCCTATCGTTT